CGTGGCACCGGCGATGCCCTTGGCACAGGAAACGTGGCGTCGCCAAGGATTTTTATAAAAATTAACACCGCCGTTTGACATTTAAAAGCGAAATTAATCTTCGCGACGATGCCGCGCGTGTATAAAATAACTAAAAAAAAAACAACAGCGGCAACTGGGGCTCGGAGCCGTTAACTGAAAGCAGAAGAGAAGTCTGGAAGGGATCAGGGGGCTCCCTTCCCGGAGTCGGTCCGTGGCCAATTCGCTCAGGGCAAATTCACAATGCAAGTCGTGCTATTACTCCAGATTAGCCTTTTTAAAACACGATAAACAGTGCTCCCACGCGCCGCCAAGAAAACCATCAGCTTCAGGGTTGGCGCCTGCTTGGGACGTGGCCTCCACGCAACTTCCCGCGGGAATGATCGGCGCGGGGCGGCTGGGGGGCACGTGCGACGATGACGATGATGACGACGGAGAGAGAGAGGGGAGGGGGCCGCAGCATCCATGCTGCGGAAGCTGAGAGAGACCGACTCGTCAACGAGTGTTCGTTAGATCACAGATAAAAAGATGAAGGTGCAGCAGATCTGCAATTGCTTGCTGATAACTACTTCCTGGGGGAATGGGCATCCACTCGCGGGTCTCTACCAGAAGTGACGCGAGCAAGTATATCGCAGGGATCCATTTTCCCTTCAGCTTCTCGCGACATCGAAAAACGTTGCCGGAGTCGGGATACCGACGAGAAACCTGCCCCACGGTAGCCGGGGCCCTGACAGGGAGGGCCCGGCCCTCCCTCCCCGTCCCCCTGAGACGTTGGGAGCGAGAGAAGAGGCCGAGAGATATTAGGAGGAGAGCTTCCCCACGCTGTAGCGTGAAAACGCACATGGCAGGCGACTTGGGGAGGGGGGGGGGCAATGTGCATTGTGCGACCACCAGAGGGACGGGGGACGGAGAAGCAGAGAATGAAAGCGAGAGAGAAAGAGACCGAGATGGAGGCGGAGAAAGATCAGGACCGGCTCCACCGGCCGCCCCTGACAAACGGCGTCAATCCGGGATTAACGGCGGTGGCGTCGACGGGAGCGTGGGCTCCGTCGCGGCGATCCGCCACGGGGTTTTCAAATTCCTCACGCCAGGTGTGGTCGATGGGGCGGGGCGGGGGGGGGGAGGGTTTATGGACTTACGCTGACGTTATCGGTCACACCTGGCTCTGCCAAACATTTTATGATAAACTCCGGCAGCCGGTCGCGGCGGCCGCCCTTGCCGTACACGTCCGCCCGATGGTCGGATGGGCCGTGCGAGGACAAAAAAAAAAAAAACACCGCCGCGGTTACCGCGCTCGACCGGAGGACGGGATCGCGCGTGGCGCCCTTCACCTCGGGGCGGTCGCTCGCAGCGATCCGCATGTCCGGAGCGGCGCGACGCCCTGTCGCCTGTCTGGATTTTCCGTAGCCAGGCGCGAGGCGGTCACGTGTGACGAGGGCCGGCCGAGCTGGGCGCTTCCAATCGCCACCTCGGTCCCCACTCCGTGCTCCGTGTGTGCGTTGAACTTCTTTTGCACCGCACGTAGCCAACCCTGCCAATCGGAGGTCGCGCTTGAGGCCGACACGTGGCTGTCGGGTGTCACGAGCGTGGGGTGTTCACGGGCGCTCCCCCCTCCGACGTGGCCGGATGGCAGTCGATACTCGCTAGGCCGGTGCACGTGTGGCACGACCGTGCACGGTTAACGCGGTGCATGTGGCACAACCAGGAAAACGACCGACCGACGGACGGACGGACGTGACCCGATGGAAAATGCACAAACCGCAGCTCCAATTACGCGGCTCCACTTGAGAGTTGCGCCGCGGCGCGATGTCCATCAGATCCGGACCCCCCCCCCGTGAGGCATCGGGAACACGTGGGGTCACTGGCGGCTGCGGCAAGCACGCCGAGGGAGCGTGGGGGGGGGGGGGGAAGAGGCCCGCCGGCCAGACGGCAGGGGTCGTGACACCGCTCGAGTGGCTGCGTTTGTGTCGCCGATGGCCCCAGGGATGGGCCGTGTCACCATCGCTCATCCTCCAGCCGGACACCGGCACGCCCCTTCTACCCCCCCCCCCCCTTTCCACCACCAACACCGCATCCCCCACGCGGCCCGAGACTCGCGCTCGTCTGCGCACACCCGACGCATTCCAGCGGCGCTGCGCTGTCAGACTCGTTGGCCCGAGTGGCCGTGCCTTGGCTCACGTAGGGCGGGGGTGGAGGGGCCTCTTTAGCCAAGAAGAATACGTGGATGTTCCTGTGGCGGTGATCTTTACATGCCCGGGGCTGTGCGTTAAACCCGGCAACCACGACACCTGCCCATCGCAGAATTTACATACAATACGATTGTCCGTGACGCACCACACACACATGCACGTGGGAGTTGCAACGAAGGGTGATAGTTTGCGATGGAATGGCCGAGACGGGCGAGAAGTCTCACCCGCCCGGTCAGATGTTGCGCAACGGTCGCACGTTGTGCAACATCCGCGGTGGAGCGTTGGTCGAGCGGTCCGATGTTGATAGTGGCGGAGCGATCGGGCACGCAGCCGGTGCAACGGCACCCAAGGGGGGCCCTGGCACCGCGCTAGGAAGAGGAGGAAGTAGACTGCACAAGGGGGCCACAATTTAATTCCTTGCACCAGGAGCCTTGCCAAAAGATGCATCGCCGCCACGTGTTAAGCAGCCGAGGGGATCCATGATGTCATTCACTTATCCTGGAAATCCTCCCCGAGTCTTAGGACTCTATCGGGACAGTCCAGGATTAGGGTGTTTGACCAATTCTAATATTTCATGAGCGCTTTGCATGTGGGAGGAAATCGGGGTGACGCTCGAATAGGTCCGCGCAGATGGGATCACGAACTCACGTGATGTGCTGCCATCTTCACAACAGCTTAGCCTAGTGGAGCTTCGGCAGTCTCACAAATCTTACCGATTCACCAACCCCCCTTGCTGGGTGCCACAAAGACGAGATGTTAACGACCTTGCCTGGAGTTTGCATGTCTCTCTCCCCGTGGTGTGCTGGACTTTTCTCTGGGTCCTCTGGTTTTTCACCCCACATTTAGAATCAACGCGTGCTTCTATGGTACTTGGCTGCTAGAAATTATCCACGTGACGATGAGACACTTCCGTTGAGCTATCACTTGTGGCCAGGTCGCTTCTGAAAAATAGCTACATTACTCGGTGGGCCTTAACCTGGTCAAATAAAAATAGTTTTAGTTCGAGTATAAAATGCAAAGTCGAGCCACCTGCGGCCCCTGCTGTCACAGCCGCGTCTCCGCGGTCGCTAAGTTACCAAGCGGCCAGCAAGCTTTGCGGTACAGCTGATGCCCCCTCAGCCCCAAGGCATTCTGGAGAGGGGGTGAGATCCACCTTGCATTGTGGTGGGAGCATCACGGGTTATGGCCTCCGCTCTGCATCTCCGCGAGCATATAAAGCACGCCGACGAGACTGGTCCAGAGGTTGCTTGGTTTGAATACATTTTGCTTTGCTGGAAAATATTTGATCTGCAAAGTCAGAGAGCCGATGACCAATTTATTTTATTTATTTGGAAGTCCGATAAGACTTGAGATTAATTCTTATCAGGCCCCAAGGTACAGACCACCGTCGCCAACTCGTATCAGCCACTCTCTCTCTGGCCTCTCTCTCTGTGCCATGAAGAAGAGCCATTGCCCAAAACGTCGCCAACATTAGTTTTCCTATCTTCAGCTGTGGCAAAGGCCGCAAAGATGTGATCGTAAATTCAAAGACTAAACCACGTGCCGGATGGCCGCGCGACATCGTCGCTTCAGCTGTTCTATCGACGTGGAACGGAGGGCCTTAAAGGAAGGGCCTTACACCAAAACATGAGGGCTTCAAGGCCGTTATTCGCTCGTGAGGTTACTCTGGCCCTGCTCGATCAGACCTCCCGATGTTCCCGACCAAGGATAACACATCAGTGGCTGCCTGTCATAGAACCCAGTGATGGGCATGGGGAGGCCCTCATCCAGCAGTGGATTGACCCAAAGGGCCGTTACATGTACCGGGCACACACAACCCCCCCCCCCCCCTCGCTGTTTCGCTTCACTTCTGCAACAACAACACGTGGTCAACAAGGGCGGCGTTAGTCAGCCCGGCGGTTTGTGATGACGGGAGCGTCCGTGCGGCCACACCAACTATTTTCAACTGCCGCTGTATTGTCGACGGATGCGTCGAGCCGTTTGTGTTATCCGTGCTTGGGCAAGACGACCAACGCAGCATCATCATCACCACCACCATGAAACAACGCCTTTAAATCTGCTCCAGTTAACACATTCATGGTCAAGTGAGCATTAAATATTGTACGGTGCTCGTCAAAACTGCTTAGGACTTCATTTCAATGTTGATTTTGACTCTTAAATTACATTTTATTCTCACCAGTGAGTGACAAACACGGAGGGTAAAATACTCGGCGAGATCCTCAAGAGATGATCTGGAGTGTTCGTCACACCCAAAACTAAATTCCAGATGGAGTATCATCAGCTGGACCGCTTCATATGTATGTTGAACTTCTTTTGCACCGTACGTAGCCAACCGTGCTCATTTGAAAGCCTGCGTATCCACGGGGGTCCGCTCCGATCACGACATTCGGACTGCGTCAAGAGCCAGGGGGTTCAATTCTGGGTGTCAGCCGCCCATGATAAAGCCCTGATAGTTTGAGCCCAGTTACGAATCACTCCCCCCATCATCACTTCGAATTTGATGTTTACGCTTAAATTGAGCAAATTCCAACTCTTAAGCATTCCGGTTTGACTTGCGTGATGAACGTCTCTCCGGCGGGACACGTTGGGACGTGTTGGAGAACGGACTGTGGAAGATGACATCACAGAACTAGTTCAGAGTTTTCCAGTCAATTACGGCTCCAGCTTCCAAGCCACCGCCAGGCCTCGGTGGCTCCTGAACGGCCGCATTAGCGAGGACGTGAGAAGGCTGCCCTGTCCTGCCGGGCTACGATGGGGGGGGGGGGGGGGGAGTTTGGTGGGGTCGGGATTCACCTTCGCTGGTCGACGTGGCATAGTCGGGGAAGTGTGTGGAGTCCGGAACCTTCCAGGGTTTGGTTTGGTCGTTGGGAACAACTGAACCTGGAGAAAGAGCAAGGGGGGGGGGGGGGGGGGTAGATGAACAAGAGAAAATGCCGGCGTTAGGGGAAAAAAAGATTTACGAGAAACGCGCTAACGGACAGAACCACCGCGGGAACAACGCGTTTATTTTTTTTTCTGCTCCGAATTCTGTCACGGAGCCTGTGCAGCGTCAAGCTTGTTATTGCGTTCAAGACGCACCCGTGGGCGAGAAACTGCGCACACCTCTCTCGCCGGACAAAATCCTACACAAGACGGCGTTGTTCCCCAGAGAACGTCTGGCTTAGCCGAGAACCGGCATGGTCCTCCATCGATCTTCGTGGACAGCCACGCTTCCCACACACGTTTCCGAGTTACTCCGACGGCGGGCGGCTCCATGCCAATCATCGTCCCCTTCCCAATTCTTGTGAACTCGAGGCGGGCGGGGGGTGGGGGGCAGGAAGCTCGCATAGGAAAGTTGCTTGAGACACGTGTTGGTGATTTTTCAACGGAGGCTAATGCATAACAAATAACCTGTGCGTGCCGACTGCTGTCGGCGGAGCGGTTCAGAGATGCGTGCTTGGAATTACATTGAGGGACGGGAAGGGGAGAGGAAAGCATGGATTAGTGAACGCACGGGAGGCTAATGACATAATTCCCCACACTGTTCAGGAAATTAAAGTTGTGGGTGTGGGGTGGACGATGGTCGATGGTCAAAGAGATGGAGTGACGCAACCAGCACAATTACAGTCACGAAAGCTTTAAATCGAAATTTAACCGCCTCTACGGGGAGGGATTCCACATAACTTTGAGATCCTTCAACAAGCTCCGTGATAAGAAGGCTCAGCTAATCGAGTCTCTCACCTTTCTGAAGAGATGCCGCGACTCTAAGACCTGGTTTTCACCGGAGGACGGCTGCTTGCGTTGTGGCCGAAACGTCGTGAGAATTGTATTATTATGTTTTATTTTTATTATTTTATTACTTCCCTTCTACGTGACTTTACCGAAAGAACCAAGAAGATGAATCCCTGCAGTCACGAAAGCTTTAAATCGAAAATTACAAGTGGCTTGATGGGTTGCTACATCGCAAGATTGCACGAGGTGGTTGTGGTAGCGACTTGGGGAGGCGGCCTTCATTCAGCCGTGAACTGACCGTGGCTAATGATGATCATAACTCACAATGCGAGTTTTTTTAAATTGATAAAACCCGACTTAAGGGCTTCTCAGCTCACAGGCTACTTCGAAATAAACTGAACTGAAACTGTGTACTTATGCATTATTCATTCAGTGCTTTTATGTCATCCGCACTCACCGTGCCTACTGTTGCGACAGGAAACTCGGCAAGAACATCATGTTTAAACGAGAGTTGTCCAAAGCATCGTGATGTATGACACAGACGCGTCATTGAAAACCAAGCCAATCAACAACAGTCACAACAAGCATCATCATCACCATCAGTGCCATCACCAGAGAGACCCTATAGAAGGTATTTGGCTTACTCTTTTACGGTGAACGGTACATCTCGGATGAAGGGTGGACGCGCGCCCTTATGCCCCACACAATATTTTGGCAAAGCAAAAGCCAAGAGGAGGTTAAACAAAGGGGGCGGTTTTGCCATGGCTTTGTTTTGATTAAACATGGCAACAGTGGCCAGCCAGCATGGCTTGGGTTGGTGTTGTGCAGACAGACACTCTTCGTCTACCGCACTCTCCTTTATCTAAACTCTCTGGGCCCAGCGGCTGATAAACCGGGGGGCTACGCTGCCGACACAGCTTTGCTGCTCTGTCGCGGACGGGAATAGCCGAAACTCAGTCACGCGCCCCATCGCCGGGGCCAAAGGGGCCAGCATTTATTTTGATTTTTGACCCCCCCCCACCCCACCCCCCACTTCTCCACCACCCTCAACCCCCACCCCCAACTTCTCCTCTTCCAGTTTAAAAAACATGTCGCCCCAACAAAAGGTCAGTCGTTTCGCCAGGGCCCAGGTGCGTGCGCGTTGAGAACCGGGCCCTCGCGCGGATCCTCGGAGGGAAATTGCCCTCGTTCAATAATTAACCAAAAAACACAATAATTCCGCCCCCCACCCCTCCGCCTTTTTCACGCTGTTATTTTAAAATTAAATCCGTTCGGCTGCACGCCCGCCGGCCATCGGTGGATATCGCCCGGCGGAGGAGTTCGGGGGGCTCCGGCGAGCGAGTTGGCCCTCGGCATTCCTGTGGCCTCTTCGGAAAAATAAAAAACCCCAAACACCCCACACCGCAAAAAAAAAGCCGCTCCACATAAACGCGCAGAGAACGCTGGGGCCAAAACATCACGTTCTCGCCAAATTAAGATAGCGGGGAACTTTTGATCGTCGTCCCAGGACGTGCTCTGCAACACATTACTCGCTCGCGCCGGGGCAGGCTGCCCTAACGCGGCGCTCCGTCACGGCGCGCGTTCATTTCCTGCCCGGCCTACCGAGGCTTCTCCGCGCCCTCTCGGGTTTCCACTCCACACTGCCCCCCCCCCCCCCAGACTCGTCACTCACTGCAGGCAGCCACGAAGCGATCCCCCGGCCCTCAATTGAAATTAACGCCTCGTGCCTCAGAGGTCAGACACGCCGGGCCGCAGCCGTCGCCGCCGAGATTCCTGGGGTGGCGATCCGGGTTTTCCAAACCGCCCGCGATTAGCATTGTTGGCTATGTGCGGTGCGAAAGAAGTGCAACATACATCCACACATGAGGACATCTGTTGGAGAGCTTCATGGCTCATCGGATTTCTCCAGGATCAATGGCGATTTTGATTAAACCCGGTTCAATGGGGTTTTCTCTCAAGGGTGGCGAAGCCGGGTCACCAACGACTTCACAAATAAAACTCCCGTCACACCAAACTTGGTCCCGCACTTAATTCCAGGACAACGATGAAGAAGAACCGACATTGGGCAAGACACTCGTGCGTCGGATTTTTCCCTCGGTGGCAGGGTGGGTGGAAAAAGTGCTGCGTGGATTAGAAGTGGGCCGTTGAAGGAATCTCCAAATAAGTTCTGTGATGCTCTCTTCTGGGGGAGCCGTTCTCTAACACACGGGGGGAGGGGGGGTAGTATTGCGTTGCTCTGTGAGATGTCCAAATGGATTAACATGACATTATACCGTTTTATATGTTTTTTTTTTATCAGTTAAAGCCTAGGATGGTGCTAAACAAGTGAGAGGGTTTGCTCGATGCAGAGGCACAGTGCACGCACATCATCACACCCCCCCCCCCCCACACACAAGGCCACCTTCCCCCGTTCGATCTCGGTTCACGACGGCCACGTGAACACCGTCCGAGTTTGCACCATCCACATCTCAAAACCGGCCGCGGCAGGGAACCAGCCCCCACACGCTCCGCTCGCTCTCTCACTCTCGCTTCTCTCGTCACGTTGTTTGGCATTTATTTATTTTACTAACAGTGATTGAGGAGCCCTGGGCAGAGTGGCTGAGATGGAGAGGGGGGTCGGGGGGGGGGGGCGGCGATAGGAGATCTTTTGGCAGAGAACCAGAAGGTTGCGGGGGTGGGGGGGGTCTGTGTATACCGGGCCGCTGAGACGTGCGACGGATCGAGCCTCGGGGGGGGCCTCCTCGCCTAACAGCGAACCGGCAACAAAATAAATGGAGTGCAAGCGCCGTGCGCACATTTCGGCCAGAGCAGCGCCGCAGAGGAAGGATGATGGGGGGTGGGGTGGAGGTGTGTGTGGCGTTGGGGCAAGCTGAAAATAAAATATCTGCAGGAAAAAGTAATTACGTCGCTGCAATTACCACGGCCGTTATACAACCACGAGCCGCTCAACAGGACGACGTTTCGCGGAGCAGTCGTTCGAGGAATCGGAAACCGTGGGCCACCCGACGGCCGCTGCGACGAGCGAGCGCGCTTGCAAGGGAGCGGCGTGCCGCCCCCCCCCCCCTCCCCGTTGAAGTTGACATGGCCGAACAGCGCGGCCAGGTGGCGTGAAGTGGGCGAGGTGTTTGGGGGAGGGGGGGGGGCTTTTCCACACCGCTCCTCCGAGCTGCCCAAACAGCCGTGCCGCATCTCGCTTAACATAACAAACGGCGCTGGGCTGCCGCTTATCTCCGCGCGCCTCTCTGCTTCTCGCTAAACCAGTCCCCGCAAACATTCCTTCCGGCCCGTATCACCGCGGCTCGCGCGGCCCGAGCGCTCAGACCAAAACGCAAAGCAGTTTCCTTCTCTCCCTCCGCCGTGGTGTGCGACGCTTGCGGTCCTCTCACTCCGCCTCTTGTCTGTCACGATGCCTGTGCGGAGTTTCCTTCCCCCGCCCCCCACCGCCGCCAAACCCGACCGCCGCCCTCCCACGCCCTTGGGGTGGCAGATGCCTCACGTCCCCGGGACCCTGGGAGCCGATGTCTGTTGGCACGGGAACAGCAACGAAGGCCCTCAGATCCACGAGGCCCTCATTGCGAGCGTTACAGGACCCCCCCTCCCCCGCTCAGTCCCCAGACCCCACGCCGACGATTGTGGCCGGGGCTGGATGTCATAATAATCGTGATAGCCTTCATAACAAAGGTGAGAGCCGATTTATAATACTTTCGTCTCTGTCGTCTTCTTCATATTGGTCGTCGTCTTCATCTTCGTCGTCGTCTTCATCTTCAAGCGACACCTTGCGTAAACAATTAAAGTCGATTTGTTACAGGCTTCGTTCATCCGCTGCCGGACGAGGGCTATCCCCACGCCGCGACGACAGTCTTGGCCTTGGCTCCAGGACACTTCCCCCGCGTGACTCAGCATGGCTTTATGAATGGGAGGGCGCGTGCGGGGAGTGGGCCGGGGGGGCTCAGGACCAGTTCTGATATTACTCGCCACCGATATTTGCCAAGCGTCTTGTCAGTTGCGTAACAATAATAACAACAACAACAAGACCGCACGAGACAAACACGTGTACGCGCGGTTCGGGCCTCTCCCGGTGATCAAGCAGATGTTCCACTTCTCCTGCCCACGATCCGTCCCCTGTTTGTGTTGGCACCCATGCCAGTGGCAATCCTCGCCTGGGGAAA